GGTGGAAGCTGAATTTTGTACTAAGAATTTGTATGTAAATTCGGGAAAAATAAAATTTTAAGACTAAAAATATCTATAAATCTAGTAATTGAAGAGATGAGTTTGACGAACTAGATTTATATTGACTTATATCGAATATACAAGAAAATCTCAAATAAAAAAAAGTTAAAAGAAAATTTTATTCTGTTTTTTTTGTCACAGGTTTTTTCCAGAAATTTTACTATGATAAAGTTTTTAATGAAACAATCTGAGAACAAATACATGCGATAATGATGGATACTCAAATGGGAGTATTAAAAGATTAGTGATTATCCATCAATTAACATAAAGCATAATAGCATATTTACCTAATCACCAAGTGCCATCCTCTTAAGCTTATCACTAATCAAATTTCCACTATATTTAAGTGTTCTTTGCAATTAAGAGGCAAATTTTGTCCTACGTTACTCTCTTTCCTATAAATATATGTGGCATGTAAGTAAAAGGACGACTTATGGTAATTAAGAAGAATACGAGAAACTTTTATTCGATCACAATACTCTCTCTCGTATAACACTACCTTCCCTTATATAATCACATACACAGACATATACGATATGTACAACCAATATTGTTATGAGTTTTTTTTTTTGCAGAAAATTCACATAAAAATAGTTTAAACTACAAAAATGTCATAGAATCAGAAACGTTTACAAATTGAAACAGACAGTACTACATGTCTTGCTGTTCCGAGCTCTAATAGAGACATGAGACAAGACATCAATCATACTAGGAGTCAGCACAGCAACAACACCATCAGGGATCTCCTCTTCCTCTGTGACTTTATTTGTAATCATTACAGTTGGCTTAGAGTAGACTTTATTCTGAACTACAATTAACTCATTCACACAAACCAAAAGCCCATAGCTGATAACCTGCCAACTGCTCAAGAAGAACCATACAGTTTAGAACATAGAATAATAAAAGTTTTTCAGTAATCACCTTCTACATGGAATAAGTCAGAGTTATAGCCTGATTTTTCATCTCAAGTTCATTGTAAAATATATATTACCTGCCTAAATTCGCAATTTGAAAAATAGTTTAAACTACAAAAATGTCATAGAATCAGAACTGTTTACAAATTGAAGCAGACAATATTACATGCCTTGCTGTTCCGAGCTCTAATAGAGACATGAGACAAGATATCAATCATAGTAGGAGTCAGCACAGCAACAACACCATCAGGTATCTCCTCTTCCTCTGTGACTTTATTTGTAATAATTACAGTTGGCTTCGAGTAAACTTTATTCTGAACTACAATTAACTCATTCACACAAACCAAAAGCCCATAGCTGATAACCTACCAACTGCTCAAGAAGAACCATATAGTTTAGAGCATAGAATAATAAAAGTTTTTCAGTAATCACCTTCTATATGGAATAAGTCATAATTATAGCCTGATTTTTCATCTCAAGTTTATTGTAAAATATATATTACCTGCCTAAATTCGCAATTTTCCTGAGAGAAGGATCAAATCTGTTAACAAGAGTTGATAGAACAGCTCCTGGTCCTACTCTTATAACCTCTTTAGTGAAAACATCAATCTGAAAAAGAACGAGAAACACATGCTTGTCAACACGTAACAGTTGACCAAGATATTTTGAGTAGGCTGTATTAATCTAAAATAATGCTGACGTCATCTATCAGCAAGAACTTGTAGTTGTAAACGGTCAAGGAACGCTTTTGTTTGTAATGCCCACTGAACATCATGAGCTCTGTAAGTCTCGCTGACACGGTACCAATCCTGAACACGAAAG